AGAAATGTCAAATATTTTCTTTTCTAGTCTGTTACAGATAGAACGATTACAAAACTATCAGAAATGATAGAAGTTTGCAGATACTAAACAACACACATTGGCAGACCTAAATGAGCCAAAAAAAAAAAAAAAAAATTAGCAAAAAGAAGTTAAAACTTGTTTTGATAAATTCATTTTTACAAACTTGAAACATCTCATAACTGTACAACTGCTGTGCCGAATTTTAGACGTCATATAAAAATAATACAACAAAAAGCTACTGTTTTTTTTCAACCAAAATTTTGAAAAAAAGGAAATTTTTTTTTTTTAAACGATTAACAAGTTTTTAAAAAATGCAAATGCTAAAAGCTGGTTTATCACAGTCAATCGAGAACTGGAATTTGAACTGAAAAAAAAAAAAAGGATTTTTTTCTAGACTTACCTTAATTTGACAACGGCTTTAAACCAATGTACCATAAAATAGAGAGAAGAGAAAATTGGCTAAACGAAGAAGTCAAGTAAGGCAACAGGTGTCTACAACAATGTCAAGTCGGGTACCTTAAATAGACGATACCATCAAACTGATCGTCGAAAATAAACTTGATATCAGCAGATAACAAAAAATGGTCGGCAACAAAAAAAAATGATAATAATAATAATAATAATAATAAGGTTTTGCTGCGGAAGTTACAGCAGTAGAAAGACCAATAAAATAAATTTTCTTTTTTTCTTTTTTTTTTTTTGGAAGAAAGCTTTTTTTCCTGTCAAAAAAAAGAAAAAAAAATCTTATTCTCTTTATCGGTAACCATGAAAAGCGTCAAAAGAAGAAACCAACGACAACATTGCTGTACAGAGAAGAAGAACCGTTTGAAACCCATAACCGCCGCCTGTTGTAAGCAGCGTAACCACACATCTGTAAGATTATTGTTTCTCCAAATTTTTTTTTTTTTTTACCTTTTGGTCAACAAAAACCTCTGCAAACAATACTGTTATATAGAAACGTTTGTAAAACAGATATAACTTTTGTTTTGTAGCTTAAATTTTAAAACTGTTCAATGTTAAGATATAAAAGGAAAAAAAAAAAAA